TTTGGGTCTGGGTTACCTCACTCAGGATAGTGTTTTTTATTTAAAAAATATTTATTTATTATGTATACAATATTCTGTCTATGTGTATGCCTGAAGGCCAGAAGAGGGCGCTAGACCTCATTGTGAGCCAGCATGTGGTTGCTGGGAATTGAACTCAGGTTCTCTGGAAGAGCAGTCAGTGCTCTTAACCACTGAGCCATCTTTCCAACCCCAGGCACACCTTTTAAAAGGGAATGTAGTGAATGTGCACAGGAGGTGCTCTTAGTGGCTACAACTGGGGACTCATCCTGTCAAACTCTAAGGGCAGGCCGGTATGGACGCCTAAATTCTAACAGAGACTGCTACTAAACTCTCTTCACAAAGCCAGTATCATCTTTGTATCACAACTGAAAATGACACAGCATCCCCCCAGCCAAAAGAAAAAAGTGTAGCCCAATCTTCTTGATGAACGCAGATGCAAAACTTCCCAATAAAATACCTACAAACCAAATTCAAGAACACATCAAAAGATCATTTTTTTTCTCTACATGCTTTTACTACAAGACTACTGAGCATATGAAGGAAATCCATCATCTGATAATTACATCAAAAGCACAGATATTTGAAAAAAGAAAGAAAAAAATTGTTTCATTAAAATATTTGATTAAACCATGAGATATTCTTTATGATCAACTTTGTTTCATACTAGGCATGTAGTGATGGCTAAACATATACAAATCAATATGTATATCAGACAAATATATTCAAGAACAGAAATTGCATGCTCATTTCCATAGCTTTTGACAAAATCTAATATTGTTTCATGATAAAAAAAAAAATCCCGAAGGGACTAGAAATAGAAGGATTGTATCTCAAACCATAGTTCTTTCCACTCACACCAACCTAGCATGCTTAACTTTTCTTAGTAATTGATTTGTGTTGAATTTTCATTCCCTCATCTGGACAATTTAGGATTCTGAAAATGTATACAAAATTTTAGAATAATGCTAAATACATGATATTTGCCCAAATCTCATAGCCCCGATTATAATAGTTAGATGTATTTGTTATGCTCTAATGATAGGCAGACATGCTAATTATCTTCCTGAAATGTTATCTAGGACACACTATCTTCATATTCTGCAGATAAATTTTCTCAGACTCATACAGGGAGTGTATGTTGGAGCTAATCTTCAATCCAATATTCCTTTTCTTCTAGAGATCAAATACTTAATTGGAATTATGTAGTGTTTCTCCAAAGAAGCCCTGAAGGACCTAGTGAGAGGACCTGTAAGCAAGATGAGAGTCATAGGTATGTGTTTTTTTCCCATCCTCGTCACAGCCATTTGGGAGACTTTTGCAAGCAAACACAGCTCAGGACCATTCACGCTAATAATTCAGAATTCTCCTGAGAACTGTAACTGCTCCAGAGGCAGCTTCTAACATCTCCACTTTTTACTTCATTCACCTCATTTAAAAGGAGCTACTGTGAAACAGTATATTCTGAAGACACTGATAAAACTTTCCATACAGCAGGAGGCTGTGAGAGACAGTGAGGATCTTCTTTCCTACCTTGTCTTAGTCTTAATTTTCAAGTTTTGATTAAGCTTTTTGCTTTTATGGAAAGATGCCTGCTCTCTGCTTAGATAATGCCTTAACAAATACCATTCTAGGGCTTTCTCTTCAAGGCTGAAATGTACTTGCTAATTCTGATATGCTAATTTAATCTTTAGTTTTTCTCTAGAAGAGAACATTAGGCAAGATTGGTAAAGTAATAAGACAAGGCCTGAGGTGAACTAAGGTGGGAAATAGGTCAGAATGGGAATGAATTGTTTTTGCTTACATTAGATTCATAGCGTTTACGTATCTTCTGGCTTAGACATAGCCAACATAATTGTTTTTAAAATAGCTCTATCTTATCAAATCATAATTACAACATTAAATTCCCTGTGAAGAAGAATGCCAGTACTCATTATAGAAACATAAGCAGAACTTCCATGGAGTCAGGTTTGGTCTTTGTGTGTGTATGTGTGTGTGTGTTTACTGGAAGGGTGTTGATCTGTAAAGAAATGGATATTTTCCCCCAAACTGTAGAAAAAGCTAAATGAGATGTTAGAAATCTTGACAGTGGAAACGATGTTTTAGAAGAAACTTCTTGGCCTTGGGGACAAGTTTGCAGTCACCGGGGGAACATTTTCACCTTAATATTTGCATGGTAGATTTTTTTTAAGACAATGAGGGATGTTGGAGTAACACTTTGTCATGACATCCTAGAGACAGAGCCCTACCATGTACCAAGTCATAGTCACATTAGCCTTGAACTCACAGTCACCTGTCTCTGAATATTTTGACTCAGGTTAAAATCAGTACAAGAACACCGTAGATTCTTATCATGTACCACAGATATTTGGAAGGCAGCTATGCTCACCACTATACCACCAACGCAGATACCACAGATATTTGATGATATGATTCACATTGTATTTGATGTGAATAAAGGTGATTCTGATGTGGTCACTGTCCTTGGTCAGCTACAGGCACCCAGAAAGGCATAAGTTTTAAAGTATAATTTATTAACATGTACTTAGCAGGTAATTAGATAATGATGCCAACGTATTTGTACATCTGAGAGTAGGTATTGTGAGGGTATGTTTGTGTATATGTGTCTATTGTGACTGGAGGTTTACAGTGGAGAATGAGAAAAGATACTATGAGGAAAAATTCTAAGAGTGAACAGTTGTGGGTAAATGGGATATGGCTATATGCTGAACATTTGCCATATAGGAACATAACAATACTTACTCTTCAATGTCAGCTTGACTGCTTTTAGAAGTCACCGTAGAAGCACACCTCTTTGTGTACCTGTGAGGATATTTCCAGAAAGGTCTGACTGAGGATAGAAGGCCCACTCTGGATGGAGACAGTGCCATTTTGTGGGCTAAGATCTAGGAAAGAATAAATAGGGAGAACAGACTAAGTACCAGCATTTATCTCTTCCCCTGATTCTTGACTATGGATGTAATGTGAACTTACCCATACCCTTACTTCTGTTCTCACAACTTCCCCACCATGATGCACCCTTACCCCATGAGCCAAAACAGACCCTTCCTTCCTACATTGACTTTGTTAGGCATTTTGTCACAGAGACAATAAAAGTATCTGACAGGTTTGGTATGGGGCTCGTGCCACCTTGTCTTGTTAAGAGTGTCTACACTAAGGAACTAAAGCATTAGGTAGTTAAACACAAGTGCAGTAGGACCTTCCCCCTTAGGGCTATCCCAACTTTATTCTTAAAGCCTGTTTTGAGTTGAAACATTGTGTCACTTAGTCTGACAGCTCCAACCAGATGCTAAGAGCCTGTTAGTAGAACAGGTGAGATGTGCTTTTGTCTTTTTCATATTTTAATGCGTTCAGCGGTCCTCAGTCTGTACTAAAATGTGTTCCTTGATCTGGGTGTGAAATTTCTATTTTTGTTTTACTTTTCTCTAACAGACTTTGACATCTTCTAAATTCAGGAACCAAGCTAAACTAGCATTAAAATATCTGACTTTTCCAGCAGTAGAACTCCAAAGTATTTTATATTACATGTATTTGTTGATCATGTCTCTAAATACTTAAAGCTATCATTATTTTGAAATAAAGTTGTTCCAGACCCACCATCATAAATAACAATGTGCTGATAAAGATATATCATATTCATTATTGTGCTGATAAAGCTCAAAGTTGTTGTGTGTATCTGTTTTCTAAAACTATATTGATAACTGTATTTTTAATATGACTGATTTCATTAGTGATTATTTGTATATTTATTTTTTTTTGCATTTTAAAACACTATTTTGAAAACATTTTCCAGATAAAGAATTAGATAACTCAACCCTTTCACAAGACCTTAAACTTTATACTTTAAATTTTCTTTATTTTTGAAAAAGCATAATGAAATTGATTATTATTAAAAATTTATTCAATCTCTCTAAGGATATTAGCACGCTTTCTAAAAACTCTGCTCAAGTATAAATAAAAGTATCTTTATTTACTCAATTCATGATCACAAACTGAACAATAAACTCGATTTCTTCTAAAGGAGCTGGTGAGACTGACATCATTTTCTTTCTTTTTTTTTGGATTTTTTTTTTTTTGAGGCAAGGTTTCTCCACAGCTTTTGGTTCCTGTCCTGGAACTAGCTCTTGTAGACCAGGCTGGCCTCGAACTCACAGAGATCCACCTGCCTCTGCCTGGCTCTGACATCATTTTCAAAGGACATTTCATGTCTTTGGGAGGGGGTAGGTGATAGATAAAGGGAGGAAATGAAAGATGATTGGCTCAATGCAGGGAGTTAGTACTGTTTGTGCATACCAGGAAACCAGCTGAGCTGATGGCTTAAATGGAAGTTCTGTTATGGTGACGATGTGTCCACTGTCTTGGAACTTCATTTGTAACATGCTGATAGAGCTACAGCTGATGCTGTGGATTGCCAAAAGTTATTAATCGGGTTTACCCTTTTTTTTCTACTTAAGAAATCAGTGAGTTTGATAAGATATTTTGGCTCTTTGAATCCTTACACTGTTGTGATTGTCCTTTCAGGGAAGAGACAACATGTCCAAAGTATCTTTGAAAAATTCAAACCATCATAAGATGGATGGAATGTGATGAGAAGAGCATACGCCTCAAGGAGTTCATTGATAATACACTGGAACGTCACGTTGTAGTTTTCAGATTAATGCAATCTGATTCATCATTGCATTATTAGAAATCTGACGTCCAGATGACTCTTCTCGCCTATTCACCACTCGCCAGATGATACCAACAGCAGATGTTCCATCTCACAAAACACTGTCACACAAACCTCGGCAATGTCCAAAGTGCTACAGCATGATAATCTTCTGCACAACTAGTAAAGTGAACTTTTGAAATGTTTCCCAGCAATTGGGGTTATCTCTAGGTCCTCCAAACTTTGAAGCAAATAATGTTTATATTATACACATCTGTATTCAGAGAGCCTTCTTGCTGAAAAAAGATGAACTATGAGACAGGCAAATCAAACTCAGGTGACCGAATTTCTCCTTCTGGGACTCTCTGATGACCCCCACACTCAGATGCTGCTATTCATCTTATTCCTGGGTGTCTATCTGGTCACTGTGCTTGGAAATCTACTTCTCATGTTTCTTGTTCGGATTGACTCTCAGCTTCACACACCCATGTATTTTTTTCTGTGTAATTTGTCAATGGCTGATCTCTGCTTTTCTACCAACATTGTTCCTCAGGCTCTCATCCATCTCCTTTCACAGAAAAAGGTTATTTCATTCAGACGTTGTGCGGCTCAGCTTCTGCTCTTTCTCATTTTTGGGTGTACACAATGTGCCCTTATGGCTGTGATGTCCTATGACCGGTATGTGGCTATCTGCAACCCTCTACATTACCCTAGCATCATGACATGGAGGGTTTGTATCCAACTGGCTATAGCATCATGGACTTGTGGCATTTTAGTGTCGCTGGTGGACAGTACTTTCACACTAAGTCTTCCCTATCGAGGCAGCAACAGTATTGCTCATTTCTTTTGTGAGGCCCCTGCACTCTTGATCCTGGCATCTACAGACACTCACACTTCAGAGATGGCCATTTTCCTCATGGGGGTTGTGATTCTCCTCATAATCACACTGTCTCACTAATTCTGGTGTCCTATGGCCACATCATAGTGACTGTGGTCAAGATGAAGTCAGCTGCAGGAAGACTCAAGGCATTTTCTACCTGTGGTTCCCACCTCATTGTTGTCATCCTTTTTTATGGGTCAGCAATTATCACCTACATGACACCAAAGTCTTCCAAAGAGCAGGAGAAACTGGTTTCTGTTTTTTATGCAATGGTGACACCTATGCTTAATCCCCTCATATACAGCCTGAGGAACAAAGATGTCAAGGGAGCTCTGTGGAAAGTAGCCACGAAGAACTGCTCAAATAGGCTTAGAATCATCCACTGACTCAGCTCCTCTTGACTTCCTAAGTATAACACATGCTAGATAGTCTTCCTTATGAATGTAAGTTATGGTAAAATGTTCATCATTGGGTCTTGTCCATGGACACACACCTTAACATTTATCCCATACTTTCTTTGTGGAGGGAGAAGGAAATAATACATAGAGCGAAAAGGGGGAAGACATGCTTCCTCCTGATATATCCTTTGACAATGAAGACCTTTTAGCTTCTGTATTTTTTGTGTGAATATACAATGTGCCTTTCCAGCAGTGATGCTCTATGATTTGTATGTGGCAATCTCAAACCCTCTGCATTACCCTCACATCATGACCCAGAGGTCTTTTCTAAGAATTAGAAAATCTCCTAATACGAAAATCTATCTTTAAACTATGGCATATGCTGTTGTCTATCCCCGATCCTAATCTAGGTTTTCTTTTGTCGTTTCTTAATTTCTTTACATCTTCAAATAAAAATTTGAAAATATTGCTTAATATCTCACCATGCTCTAGGTACTACTTATGTGTGCATTCATGTGTTATGTAGCTGTGTCAGGGGTGGGTAATGAAGGAACCAGAACACTGAAGTAGAATAAATGAGCCTCTCTTGACTGTTCACATTCTTTTTTAGAGATTCAAATATATTATTTATCAGGATAATCCTCATAAATGTGAATATAGAGATTTAAAACCATTAAGAAATAATGACATTCCTCAAGTATGTAATTAACTCCATGCCTAAAGGACTAAGTGGATGGAACTAGGAACCAGGGAGAGTAGCTGTGTTCAAAATCCACGAGGCAAGAGCTGTGAACTAGGTCATATGTGTGAGCAATCTATGGGAAAAGTTATTTAAAGGTAATTCTCTCCTTTAAAACTGTATTTCAAGTAAAATCCAGAGAACAAGGGAACCTATTTATACAATTCATAAACCTATCAGGTACTCTGAGTCAAATAGAAGGGATTGAGGATAGAAGATGCAGCTGAAAGGGTCAAGAAAGGTGGAATTTACTCTTTTTGCCCTCACCATGCATTTGCTCATTGTCCAGTGATTAATTCATGTTTGTAGTAAAGAGAACACTGGTGTGGGAGGTCCTTCTGTCTATGTGTTACATTTATTGGTTAATAAATAAAGTACTTCTTTGAGCCTATGGCAGGGAAGAACAGAACTAGGCAGGAAAAGCTAGGCTGTATGCTGGGAGAAAGAATGGCGAAGTCGGAGAGAAGCCATGGAGCCACTGGAGACAGATGCTGGGAACCTTACCTGGTAAGCCACAGCCATGTGGCAATATACAGATTAATAGAAATGGGTTAAATTAATATTCAAGTGTTAGCAAAAAGAAGCTAGAGCTAATGGGCCAAGCAGTGATTTAATCAACACAGTTTCTGTGTGATTATTTCAGGGCTGAGAGGCCAGGAACCAATGAGCAGCTCTCTCTCCTTCCTACAACAGAACACCAAATTCCATCAATAACTTTATCATTGTGACTTCATAGTGAGAGTACATATGCTTGATACCTAAAAGGATAGCATTGTCCAGATTTACTCAAAGGAATGAGGAGAAAGAGTGAAAAAAAAAACCATGACAATTGATTAGGAAATAAACCTTTATTTCTGATCTTAGTAATCAGACCTAAACTAGTAATTGTAATGTTTCTTTCACTACAGTGTCTGTATCTTAAGCAACTACTGTCCCAACTGGCAATTGCAATTGCAATTGCAGCTACTAGCAGTGGCCACATGGGCTGCAGTCAGGCAGGAATTCTGTTCCCTCAGGCAATAGCTCTCTGAAGGCACCTAAAGGAAACTTTAAATTTCTATCAGGATTATAATTCAGGATTCAAAAGTTGAGAAATTCTGCTCACTCAGAGAGGCTAAATAGCAAGAAGCTAGCCTTCTCTTCCTGCTCATGTCTCCATAAAAAATGGGGTGTCCTTCTGCTCAGTCCACACTTAAAAAAAAAAAACAAACCGCTAGCTACACTTAGTTTCTCCCTACTACTTCCTGTCAGTTGCTGACTGCCTCCTGACCCCAGGTTAATTTTATTTAGCCAAACAAGTGTAACATGTCTTTGCATCGTTAATCAAAGCAACAGAAACCAATGTAACACACCTTTACCCAGTGAAAATAATATTCTACAACTGTCTTCATGGATTTGTTTCTGCATTAGCCTCTATTTGTGGAAATTTGTTGGCAGTGGTGACCTAAAATTTCTCTCCTGAGAATAAGCTCATAGATTCCTTTTTGTTGTTTTTTTTAACTTCTGTTTAATTAGTGCTTGTGTTCAAAGAAGTGTTAATGATGGTGAATCTTTTTTTTAATGATTCATTTATTTTTTTTTAATTTATCCTTTATTAAGGATTTCTGCCTCCTCCCCGCCACCGCCTCCCATTTCCCTCCCCCTCCCCCGATCAAGTCCCCCTCCCTCATCTGCTCGAAGAGCAATCAGGGTTCCCTGACCTGTGGTAAGCCCAAGGACAGCCCACCTCTATCCAGGTCTAGTAAGGTGAGCATCCAAACTGCCTAGGCTCCCACAAAGCCAGTACGTGCAGTAGGATCAAAAACCCACTGCGATTGTTCTTGAGTTCTCAGTAGTCCTCATTGTCCGCTATGTTCAGAGAGTCCGGTTTTATCCCATGCTTTTTCAGACCCAGGCCAGTTGGCCTTGGTGAGTTCCCGATAGAACATCCCCATTGTCTCAGTGTGTGGGTGCACCCTTCGCGGTCCTGAGTTCCTTGCTTGTGCTCTCTCTCCTTCTGCTGCTGATTTGGACCTTGAGATTTCTGTCCGGTGCTCCAATGTGGGTCTCTGTCTCTCTCTCCTTTCATCGCCTGATGAAGGTTAATATTCATGAGGATGCCTATGTGTTTGTCTTTGGATCACCTTCTTATTTAGCTTCTCTAGGAACATGAATTATAAGCTCAATGTCCTTTGTTTATGGCTAGAAATCAAATATGGGTGAGTTCATCCCATGTTCCTCTTTTTGGGTCTGGCTTACCTCACTCAGGATAGTGTTTTTTATTTCCATCCATTTATATGCAAAATTCAAGAAGTCCTTGTTTTTTACTGCTGAGTAATACTCTAATATGTATATATTCTATACTTCATCCATTCTTCTGTTGAAGGGCATCTAGGTTGTTTCCAGGTTCTGGCTATTACAAACAATGCTGCTATGAACATAGTTGAGCATATACTTTTGTTGTATGATAGGGCCTCTCTTGGGTATATTCCCAAGAGTGGTACTGCTGGATCCAGGGGTAGGTTGATCCCGAATTTCCTGAGAAACCACCACATTGCTTTCCAAAGTGGTTGCACAAGTTTGCATTCCCACCAGCAATGGGTGAGTGTACCCCTTTCTCCACAACCTCTCCAACAAAGGCTATCATTGGTGTTTTTTATTTTAGCCATTCTGACAGGTGTATGATGGTATCTTAAAGTTGTCTTGATTTGCATTTCCCTGATCGCTAAGGAAGTTGAGCATGACCTTAAGTGTCTTTTGGCCATTTGAAGTTCTTCTGTTGAGAATTCTCTGTTCAGCTCAGTGCCCCATTTTATAATTGGGTTGATTAGCCTTTTACGGTCTAGTTTCTTGAGTTCTTTATATATTTTGAAGATCAGACCTTTGTCTGTTGCGGGGTTGGTGAAGATCTTCTCCCAGTAAGTAGGTTGCCTTTTTGTCTTAGTGACAGTGTCCTTTGCTTTACAGAAGTTTCTCGGTCTCAGGAGGTCCCATTTATTCAATGATGCCCTTAGTGTCTGTGCTGCTGGGGTTATACTTAGGAAGTGGTCTCCTGTGCCCATGTGTTGTAGAGTACTTCCCACTTTCTCTTTTATCAGGTTCAGTGTGTTCGGACTGATATTGAGGTCTTTAATACATTTGGACTTGAGTTTTGTGCATGGTGATAGATAAGGATCTATTTTCATTCTTCTACAGATTGACATCCAGTTATGCCAGCACAATTTGTTGAAGATGCTCTCTTTTTTCCATTGTATACTTTTAGCTCCTTTATCGAAAATCAGGTGTTCATAGGTTTGTGGGTTAATGTCAGGGTCTTCTATTCGATTCCATTGGTCGACTTCTCTGTTTTTATGCCAATACCAAGCTGTTTTCAATACTGTAGCTCTGTAATAGAGTTTGAAGTCAGGGATGGTAATGCCTCCAAGACAATCCTTTATTGTATAAGATTGTTTTGGCTATCCTGGGTTTTTTGTTTTTCCATATAAAGTTGATTATTGTCTTCTCCAGATCTGTGAAGAATTTTGATGGGATTTTTTTTAAAGTTCTTTTCAACTGCCTTTCTTTTTTTTGTTTTAATTTATTTATTTATTAAAAATTTCTGTGTCTTCCCTGCCACCGCCTCCCATTTCCCTCCCACTCCCCCAATTAAGCCCCCCCCCCCTCAGCCCTAAAAGCAATCAGGGTTCCCTGTCCTGTGGGAAGTCCAAGGAACCCCCACCTCCATCCAGGTCTAGTAAGTTGAGCATCCAAACTGCCTAGGCTCCCACAAAGCCAGTACGTGCAGTAGGATCAGAAACCCATTGCATTGTTCTTGAGTTCTCACTAGTCCTCATTGTCCGCTATGTTCAGAGAGTCCGGTTTTATCCCAGGCTTTTCCAGACCCAGGCCAGCTGGCCTTGGTGAGTTCCCAGTAGAACATCCCCATTGTCTCAGTGTGTGGGTGCACCCCTTGCGGTCCTGAGTTCCTTGCTCGTGCTCTCTTTCCTTGTGCTCCTGATTTGGACCTTGAGATTTCTGTCCGGTGCTCCAATGTGGGTCTCTGTCTCTCTCTCCTTTCATCGCCTGATGAAGGTTAATATTCAGGAGGATGCCTATATGTTTTTCTTTGGGTTCTCCTTATTTAGCTTCTCTAGGCTCACTAATTATATGCTCAATGTCCTTTGTTTATGGCTAGAAACCAAATATGACTGAGTACATCCCATATTCATCTTTTTGGGTCTGGCTTACCTCACTCAGGATAGTGTTTTCTATTTCCATCCATTTGCATGCA